GTACTTACTGGGATCACGAGCAATTGGTTCCTCCTCCTGGTTGTTCGTCAGCGAATTTTCTAAACGAGCGGAGCGATTTCGTCTCGTACGATCAAGAGTTGATTTACAAAAGTTAGTGAAAACAATCCGGCAACACAGAGACAGATCCTCGACCACGGGTAGTAAGCGTGCATGAGTTTCTAGTAGCCCTGCAAGTTGAGCTTGAGCCGCCTCTAGGTGAGCGGACGCCACACGTCTGAGGTTAGCCGCAGAGGGCTTGAGTTTGTTTCTACGCAACAGTAAGAGCACTGGACGAGGATAGCGACGCACGAAAATGCATTTCGATAGAAACGATATCTTCACACGTAAGCACACCAACTTGCACCTCAGGCTGACTATGCGGTGCAGCAACCTGACTGTTTCGGAGGGAATTCGTCGTTTCAGGAATTAAAAGCAGTAAGTTCACTTCAACAATTTGAAAAGCACGGAAAGAAGACGAAGGCTGGTAGATGCATGCATTTCGTATTGTCTCCTCAGTACCATTAACAATAACCGATATGTATAGATATAGCTAACAGTGGGTGCAACCAGACAAGCTTAAGGTGCAAAACGAATGACGGAAGTTCACACCTACGTCCAAGGCAGCTTTAGGCTGACAAATAATTGTTTCTGAACACATGAGGCTGGCTTAATCCGGCTTATAGCGACAGCCTCAGCAAACCGAAGGAAGCGGGGATTAGTGTGACGTAACACGACTTTAAACGCTGAGCTCAGCTCTAATTGGTGACCCGAGTCTAATAGGTGTTTGCCTATCGAGGAAGCCGGCGGTCTGCGCGAACATGGAATCTGACGGGGGTAGGAAATCTGAGCAACTTCACGTTGAACCCATTTTGGCACATGTTCCTTTATTCGGGAAGTCAGCGTTCGATTGGTTCTGCCTATGTAACTTTTTCCGCAGTCACATACAAATTGGTATACACAGTGTGAGTTGGCCCCAATAGGCTGAGCTTCCTTCGTTGGAGGTATGGGCAAATTTCGGGTTCGGTTGATAACGACAACTTGGGCAGCATAGTAACTTCCTTGTGTAGCCGAAATTATACGCTTAGTTGTCTTCAGCGTGGCTAAGTCACCTTTGAAAGGTAACTCGATATACACTTTCTTCTTGGCTGCTGTGTGCACCAAGTCCTTTTGTCCTCGCGGTTGGCTGTGTTTCTCGATAAATCTTCGAGGGTAGCCATTCGCCATTAGTGTTGCTGTAATTAACACTAGCTCATCGTGCAGACAATCGGCCGAACAAATTCGTCTGGCACGACTAACTAGATTCCTTACAAGTGTCCGTTTGTACCACACTGGAGTGAATCTGGTGAAGTGCAGGTACTGACAAGACCAAGTCGATTTTCGGTAAATGGACCTCTTAATCAGTCCATCCTCCCTGCGAGTTATGAGTATGTCCAGATATGGTACCCCCGCCCCACCCCCCCCCCCGAATTCAGATATGTTCAGCTACAAGTATACCTTTACTACCCCACTGACCTCCTGTCCTGCCGTAACAACACGTACTGTAAGACCCCAACATTGTCCCCCCCCCCCCCGCTCCCCCCTCCCCACTTCGCACTCAAATATCCCCCTCCCCCTCCAGTATTGTCTCATCATAACCCGCATACTCCCTCACAAACATCGTCTCCGTCCATTAGTGAAACCCACACCCCACACCTCCTCCATCTCAACGTAACCTTTCAGAATGTGATCCACCCTCCTGTTCTTAGATATCTGTGGACTGTGTAGTCGTCACTTCTTCCCCCATAATAGCCTCCCTCCCCCCCCCTACGCCTCAACCCCATCGCGCGTATCCCACTGCTCCCGCTTGTACATTCTTAATCCCCTCACACCCCAACGCCCCCCTACCTGTCCCCCCCCTCTCCACCCACCCACCCTCCCATCACCCCCTAGCCCAACCCCCTCGCGTTTCTACCATACCCGCCGTCCAGTTCGCCTGACATCCCCCCCCTACCCCATTTACATCCCATCTTGTGACCACGCACTCAACCCACTATTAGTTTCAACTTCTATACAAGCCCCACCTAACCCCCGCACCCCCCCTAGATCAGATATAACGTCGACTCACCCCACGCGTAACCGTCATGTCCACAATACTAACCCTACCCCTACCACTCATCATATCGAGATTCTAATCGCATACACCTCACCGCGACCAAACTTCAAACCATCCCTGACAGCTGTCTCGCAAGACTACCCTAGTCCACCACATATGTGGAGTTTACAACCAGTAGAGCTAGATACATCTGTCTACACCGTGCTGTCGCGTCCCAAAGCTATAACAATATGTATAGTCTCGTGTGTAGAAGACATTATGTCCCCATCGTACACTGTGTCCAATAGCCTCTAGCTCCTCACTAGATCAGTCTAACCGCTGTGCTTGTCGTAATAGTAACTCTTGAATGTAATCACTATGCCCTGGCCCTCAGACGACCCATCCAACCCCCCGAGCCCCCTGCTATCCACCCAATCGTGCCCCCGCCAGCAGTATTATAGCTGAAGGGCAGTTTAGAATATACACGCGCCATGTGCCTAACCGGACCCTTTCATCGCAGACACCTAAGCCCCCCCCCCACACTTCCACACCCATCCCTTCTTGATACTGCCCCCTCTCTGTCCCACATACCCACCCCTTAAGGTGATCCCCCCTCCCCCACAACCCCCCCCCACATAAACGATTGAATATTCCACCCGTCTAGATATAAGCACCTCTCCCTTCCTCTGTGCCCATGTCACGTCCCCACATGCAGCAGTACCAACTATACTCTGTGTCTATCTCACCCCTGCATCTACCCTCCATGTTCACCCGCCCGAGCCCCTGTCGCCACCCATCGACCCCCTGCATCACGTCAGAAACCCCTACAGAGCGCTGCCCGCCCAACAGCAGCACCACCTCGTTGTGACCAGCCCCTCCCCTACGCCTGTTTACATGATCCCACTCCCCCGTATCACTGTCACCGAGAGGTCCCCCCCCGGTTCCTCCTCACACGTAATGTCTCGGCCCATCCCTAGCGCGCAGCCCCTCTCCTCATCGCTAGTCATACTGTCCTCTATTTCACCTTCACATATTCCCTCTATTCTCCCGTGTCTACCCTCGCTGTCTCTTTCGGTTTTCCTGATTGTGCCCATGCCTTGACTCAATCGTTCCCCTGTTCTCCCTATAGGTTCTGTCAGAGTCCCGTCGTCCGAGCCCTCACCTGACCGTTACTTCGCTCCCCTCATATATAGCTCCATACCCCGTCTGCCCTGATTTGACCCGTTACGAGCTCGCGCTCTCGCATCAGCTGTACTGATCCCTATCCTCCTCAGAGATACGATTATAGGAGACGCCGACCCTCCTACACATTTGCAGTGCCCCGTGTCCGCTCTCTATATACCCCACTGTACCCCCCGCCTGCTTAACTGTGTTAGTTACGGAAATTGACGTCAGAGTGCTAGGGATAAATACTCTGCCACTGCGTGAGACAGTGTGTGTGCACTCTCCGGCCATCCTCGTCCTCTCCTAGCCTCTCTTTTTCTTTTTACTAGATGTTCTAATAATACCGCTGTTGGCGTTTGGATACCCTACGAATCGATTGACAAATCACATCTTGATGGCTTAAGATCAGCACGCTGTCTTGGACAGGCACGTGAGGCCACTCCACTTCTATTTTTCCACATAAGTCTCTTGCCCCCCCTGCCAGTGAGTCGCCCCAAGAGTTTATCAGTATCATTCTAGACTCGCTCCGACTTCGCCAGCCGGCCCATCCCCCCCATGGACGCCACAGTACAGACAACTGGTAAATAACGGTTGATACCACCTACAGTGCTTAAGCTTCGCACTAGCTTTAGTCCCTGCCCCTCGCATTATATGACACTGCTCCCAAATAATCCAAGTGATTATCATCCACCGTACATATAGAATAGAAGCGCGTCATCACACAGAGAGAGACGATACTGGAGGAGCGTCTGTAGCTGCAATAAGAGTGCTGTTTCTCATGTCATTGAACACACGCGTTTGGTATAAAGTTGCACCGCCAGAAAAACGCGCCTTAGTTACCACAACGTGACGAGAGACTCAGTTGAGCTAGTTCGGAAGTCCCTCCGATGAACTAGAACTCCCCACGATTGTCTTCGTATGGGTGACTGTGCATTCCCACCATGCTCGGCCCTTATGGATGGCCACTAGTTTTCATGTAATCCGCCCCGCCCCTATTTCCTGTTTATACCCTGTGTTTGACTGAGTGTTAACCTTTCGCCCACACTCAGATACACGCCTCCTGTGAGACAGTCACCCCTCCTCACCATACTTAATCTCTAATTCACGCACTACTCGTCACACGTATATTTTATCCCCTGTGCACCTTACCTTGACTTCCCCCGTGTTTAAGTGCACGCGCTGTCTCTCCTATGTGTCTTTCCCGCTAAAGTCTACGCCCCCGCTTGTGTTAGGTTCTCACGCCCCAATACACCCCCCTTGATCTCCCTCTAGTCGGCGCTCCCTTCTTCCACTTGTGCTCAGATCCTAACCCCCCAGACTTCAGGTCGGTGGCTAGAATACACCACCCCCCGAACCCCCCGCCCTAATGCCAGTGACGAACCTCTTTCATAATAGGTTGTACTTTTATGTCATGAAGTAAGCCTACCTGATAATATTATACTCGTCTTACCTACCCCCGGACTCGACAAGAGCAATACGCGAGATAAGATAAAGAGAGAGCACAACTGAAAAGTAGTGACTATGAGACCTGTCAAATAGCAGACACTATCCTACGACAGCTGACTCCCCCAGTGTCAGAAAGTGACAGCCGCTGACTTACCACAAAGACTGCGATAGAACTCGAACCCGCGCTTTGTGTGTACAGGTCACTTCCCGCTTGTAGTCTGTTCCGCCCTCGCTATAATAACAATGTGAGAATCTATCACGTATCTAGTCGCCTTGAAAAACGACGCGTGCGTGCAATCACGCTTACGCTACTGGTCTTTTAGACACTGTTTGCTCGTTTTCGCGTGCCCTCTGTACTTGTGTATATGTAGTGTGTGTATGTACCCACCCCCCCCCCCCCCCCCCCCCCCCCCCCCCTCCACCCACAACCCCCCCCCCCCACCCCCCCCCCCCACCCCCCTAAACCCCCCCCCCCCTTCCCTCCCCGACTATTCATGCCTGTTTTGCCCTCAGTGTCTATCAGATTAATTCGAGCATGCACGCCCGTGCCCCGGTATCCCCCTGCTAGCGGTACTTAGCAGACTTCTGGTGCCTAAATACAAGGGCATATATCATAAATATCAGAGAGCATACAGTACAAATATTCGTTGCTTGCTTGTTCAAATGGAGATAGAGATGGATAGCACGGCGAAGCCACTATCTCCCGCGCTCTCCTTGGCCTGCACCCGCCCGCACCCCCTGTCTACGAACACAGCGCCATAAATCACCCAAATGGAGTCCACCCTCCCCCCCGCGCCCTATCCGCCCAACATGCACGCTCACATACCCTGTTCTGCCCCGCCCACACCATAAATTTACCACCGCACTCCGTGCCCCGTGCGCCCGCCCGGGGGCCACCCCCCCCCCCCCCCCCGGCGTGTGTTGTGGGCCCCCCCCCCGGCCTCGAATGTCGTTACAGTTGTATCGCGCAGTCTAATGCCCACGTCGTGTTATCAAACTATCACTACTCTCTTGGCGCCGCATGCACGATTTGTCTAGCCGCTCACTCAAAATGGTCTAATGTGTACGCTGGCAATACTGTGCTCGGAGTCGCCTTGCCCCACAAATGTTTTCCTTGTTGCCGTGTTAGACACGAACTCTTCGGACTCGAAGGCTGTCACGTACAGACAAGTGTACAGAGAATGCTCCCGAAAGACAAAAGAAGCAGCGACGCCCCCGTAACATGTCACAGACGCCCGTCATGTACCGTTCTCTCCCTTGCTGAGCAAGAGTCCGAAAGGTGAGTAAGACAAAAAGACCGACAGGCGGTACCCTCTTAATAACACTTATCTGACGTCCTGCGAGGACCGGGAGATTTAGTTTAAACATCTCGAGCTCTCAGACAGCCTCTAGCACACGGAAGCTGCGAATAATCGGTGTTTCATGAACAGCGCATTGATTATCTCATGGTAGAATTCATGCTAGTTTGGAAAGTATTAAGATGTTGAATGCGGAACAAGTTGCAGCTATTAAACGGAGTGTCGAGTTCTCGTAGCAAATAAATAGTTGGATAGAGCTAAGAGCATTGGGTAAATTAATGACACTTATGATGGGATGCACTCGAATATCCTTTTCGAGCATGCTTGGATTTCTGTGCAAATCCTATTGAAATTGCAGTAACCGATGCAGCGATGATATGTGCTAATTAATATTGCAGTGATAGATCTACTTACTGGTGTTGCTAAATCCGAGTTGGATAAGTGTAAGCATAGAAATGTGTGTCAGTAATTGCGATTAGTAGATCTAGAAGCGGACGAGCGTAGGTCGAGATCCATGTTATACAGGTTTTCCTCTACCTACAGTTCCTTACAGGATTGTCGGTTTACGCTTGCCATTTTATGATCATGAGGACCAAATATATCTTAGCAAATTCTATCACAGCGAACCAAGGGGGTCTTTGAAAACATCAAACGATGGTCGACGCAAATTCATACTAGTATTAGTTGACTCTGTTCCGATCTCTGGGTTGAATATCGGTTATATTAGCTACCACCATTTCAACGAACTATATTGAATGATGTTTGCACCGTTAAGCACGATAATATTTCCGTCTAGATAACAGGTATCTGAAATATAAATAAACATTTTCGTATGATTTTTCCAAGTAAACGCATGCACCTCGGTGATAGCTGCACAATGCATGCGTGACACAGGCAGCTCCTTAAACCAACAACATCGAGAACACACCTTCGGTTGTACGCACATACGTTCGCAGTCCGCTTGAACCTATGCTAATGTAGATCATTTTGCTTTGGATTTCTGTTTAATTCCATAGCGGGTTGCTGATGATGACCAACTAGTTTTGTTCAACACAATTCGGCTACGTCCAAGCGCTTAAGCTTTCGATCAATAAACTAATAGTCACATTCAAGGGCTATGGTGCGCGTAACAAGAATTCGCGTTTGAATAATGGCGTCTGTACTCCTTCTGACAGTCGTTCATATATGCCATGGTCATATACCTATGGACTTTAGCAGCGAACGTGCACTCTGCTTGAAGTTTAGATTCTAAAACATGGCTTCCAGGCACTCGTATGACTGTTGGTAAACGCAACTCAAAACAGTGGCAAGTCCAGGTGTTGTGCGTCGTATTAAAATTCGAGTGCATCTACCATATTTTCCTATATGTTGTCAATGATTCCACTTTCAAAAGCATCAGTTGTGCCAACTCACCAAATCTCCACTAACCGACTATGAAATTAAAGTTCCTAAATATCTTTAATATCGCGGTATTATAAGCCATTCTGATAGATATAAGCGTCTCAAGTTGATTCAGCAATTCTACAAGTCTTACATGACTAGACAAGGAATCGGTAGAGTTGAATGTTGAGTTGAGCTAAGATTGCGGCACCCAATATTCTAGTGATCACGGTGATAACCAGCAACCAGTATGTGTCAAGATCCTTTCCCAAATCACGCTTTCTGCAACTGCAGCGGTCAAATCAGGACGAGCCCGGTAGTGCAGGGAGCCAGCGACACCAAAACCCAAAAACCAATTGTTTATTGCCAAAGGTATTGTTAAAGTGCATCATATTCGTATCAAATTTTGGCACTTTAAGCTAGTATTTCAGTTAGTACTAACTTTACATATTCTTAAGTAGGGTTGAACCCGGACGGCATATTTTGAAACTAACGAGACTAACAATGCATCGGAATAATCAGTAGGTCCTGGTGCTTATATCTTAACTCATTTATCTGTTTGCACTTATCTGCTATATAAAAAGCAGTGCATATTTTCGCCAATTTACATTCCTTAATGTTAATTTGCCCCAAAAATACTTGTATAGAATATGAAATTCTTCAAACTTGACTCAGTCAGACAGCCATCAAATCTAAGAAATGCAGTGTGTGATCGTTTAATTCTTTTGGAAAACCTCAACACTGCGCATTCCGTCTGATTCCTGTAAGCCTAGAACATTCAATCCGAATATTAGTAGTCCATGGTGAATAACCATAAACTACGAGGGACGACAACCACCGGATGACTAATTTTAGACTTTATTCTTAGCGGCACTTTAGCACGTGGTTTGTTTGTTCCCAATGTAGCCCATTGGCTTCGACCACATATGCGTGATAGACTAGTTGCAAGTCAAAGGTCTTAAGAAGCACTGATAAGGATTCCCTAAAGGACCAAACAAGTATAATAATACGAATGAGTAACTTTCTCTGAAAGTGAGAAGCTATGTCCATATTTGGCACAGATCAACTATATACAGGTGGTAACATTCTCTTGCATGGTTAATATGCATTTGTAGTGAGTAAAGATCAACCTTATATTCCTCGTCGGTGCGAGGTATAGTCCAACTGTATAGTACGACCCGTGGTGTATGGCAGAATCACAGGCACCAGATGTTACGTTTTACGAATTTTTCAAAGCAGTCCGCAAGCATTTTGGCACATTGGGCTAGTTAGTCTGTTAAAACGTTCAGGAAGCTTGTGATGTTTTAAAAATAATAAGTGTAGATAACTAAAACGTATACGTGATGTAACAGGCCATTAATGGGACCACCACCTGGGACTTTTTTCCGTGCGGATCATTTCCTCGATTGATTTCACTCACACTTCTATGCCCCAATTGAACCTTTTCCGGTTTGACTTTTAAAGCCAGTAAACCATCACTTATGTAACTCATATTTATGGCTGTATTTCTGTGTATGTAGTGTGGCTAGTCAACCCACCTTACCCGTACTGTCAGCTGGATATTTTGAGTAAAACGTGTTTTCATCGCCAGGGAACCAATGGCAATGCGCCTTGATAGTGCATAATTATTAGCGTTGGAAGCTTAGATCGGTCACCTCAGGGGATCGACTCAGTCGTAGCCAACGGTGAAGTAAAATAAATATAAAATATGTGCACAAGAAAGACCGAGCAAATTTTACTGAGGAGGTGTCAAAACCCGATGAACATTCGAAATATTAATATGCTCGACAGTTCTGGAAATAATAGTTACAGATTAATCATCATTTTCTTGCGTTCGAAAAGTATCGGAATCGATAGCGCAGATCAATGACACGTGTTCTCTGTTCCTGGGCTATCGCCTCCGGGACAGAAGCACTATTTAACATCACATCGACAGGATAAAAAGGTTTTGTCTAATTCAACGAAAATATATGACTGTTTCATGTCCCGATAGTGCGAGACACGGACCGTCCTGCTAAGCTGATCACGTTCGTAATTGAATCGTCAAGAAATGTTTGCGTTCACTCCGTTCTTAATAAGTGTTCACGAGCCAATGTTTCAGCTGTTCAACCATAAGGTGCATCTGAGGTGTGTCGGGAGTGACATCCACGGGTTTCGGTAATCACTCCGTAATTTGTTCATTGATTCCTCCGGATAAAATAGTGATTTAGTTAAAAGGTGGGAATAAGGTTGTTTTATAACTAACTAGGTGGTAGAGCAGGGTTAACTTGGAATCTGAAATTTTTGCCAATTGTTGTGTTGCGATCGACCCATCCTCATAAAAGTGGCTATATATACGTATGAATTGAGAATATCCTCCACTTTAATCACTATAAATTTCCTGTTAACTAAAGTAAGAAAAACACTTTTTGAGTTACAGTTTCTCAGATTCTGCAGTAGTTTGTGTTGCATGAACGCCTAGCGGTTAGGAAAATATTTAATGTCTAGCTAGTTCTTACCTATTTGATTTTTAACATGCTATGTCCATCACATAAATTCTACTTGAGAAAAGGTCGAATTACAACCTCACTGTCTGAGGTAAAGAGGAGATTGTGGATTATATCGAACATGAAGTTCGTGTTCAATGTTATTTTCCTTAACCAGAGATGTTCTATGTTCATTTCACAACAACGGTCATATTAAGTAAAATCACCCAAGTTTCTCATGAGACACTTCGTAAAGCGGCGCTGTTTATTAGCTATTGATGTTCTATCATATTTAATCTTGGAATAAATTTGTGAGTAATATTTGAGTAGGGGACGAAGAATGGTTTTATACAGGTAGATTTTGGATTCCTTAAATACTAAGGATTTTAGCATTAGCCATCCTAATTTACGGACATTTACAACAGTATACTTTACCTGTTCGGCGAAATTGAAGAAACGCGAATAATGGATCGCAATATCACGAATTTTAAGATAGGTGAACAGCTTTGTGCCGTCTAGCACTAAAAATTTGGTGCAATGCTGTACCGATAACATATACAACTGTACTTCTTGGATAAGAGTTCTATTTTCCGCTTACTGCATCAATTCTCCAGCTATTGCGCATCCGCTTATATGTCGGCTAGTGGTTTATGAAATTGCTCAACTCATAAGCCATTTTTACATAATATATGAATACATATGTTTTGTCGTGTCCGATGCCATCGAAGACGTCTTTAATGTGTATCACAAACAGAAGAGGCCCTAGAATAGTTCCCTTGGTCTCCCCACTGGTGACTTTTCCACTCGTGCAAGTGTTGCTTACTATTTCAACTGCCTGAAGCCGACCGGAAAGATACGATTCTATTCAAGATTGCAAATTGCCACGCATACCTAATGATTGGAATTTCGATAGAAGAATTCCATGTGCTACCCGATCGAACGCCCAACGCATATCAAGAAATATGATGCCCTGACACGTACCATGGTCAATGGAACAACAAAGTACATAATTTGTATTTGACAAGTAATACATGACCGTGCTCTCAGAAATCCTTGCTGGAAAGTATTGATCAAATATGGGACGATAGGAATTCAACTATCTTAGCTTGAAGTGCCGTTGCCATTGCATTAAACAGAATAGATGTATGGCTGATTGGCCAGTAGCACGCCTGTAATTGACGTGAGGTACTTTTATATCATGGTGAAAACAACGCATATTCCCACAATTCCGGAACAACCGCAGACTTTATGGACAACGTACAACGATTTTAAGCAGCAAGTCGATTTAAGGGTCGCCGAATTGGAGCATAGGATACGGTATTCCATCCGGACCTGGATAGAAGCTTGAAGTTGAGTCTCCGCTGGAATTTTTCACTCATTACTTTAGGTTAATTACAGGGAGAGTGATTTGTTTCTAAGGATGACATTATTTATTTTACTGAATTAGCGGACTAAAATTATTAGTCTTTTTAAATTTATACCGTAGCTTCTTTACTTGTCGTATTGTATGCGACGGGATAGTGGTCTGACTCGTTTTCAGGGAAGTGCGCCCGTGACGCATTGGGCGGAAGAGATCTAGATGTGATTACGTTTTTGTATAACAAGTCAGCTGCATTTAGAGGTTCAAGGAAGAGAAACACTCATCCCAGTATAGAGCTCACAATTTGATTGAGAAAACATGTGATGTTCATGTGACAGTCATGTGATAGTCAGAAAAACATATAATCTTGTTGAATGGGTCGTGGTTGCAAGCGATTGCGTTGAAGCAGATTTCTACTATATTGAGTTCAATCCCAGGAAAGCTTGGGGGATGCGTTTACACCTAAGACTTACGTATATAAATTGTTCACTGCTTGTTGTAGATGACCATTTTTGCATCAACTTAAATGTACGTATGGTTGAGACATAGTACAGGTATTTAAATTGAAACCGTGATAGATAACAAGAAATCTCCACTGATAATTTTCTGACTTACCGATTGCTCAGAGGCATATGGGGAATCTTCTACATGGTGGTCGAAATACGATTTACGAAGGTGTTGTGGGTTTCACACTCAACCCATAAGATTGGTCATGCAATTTATTTAAATGGTATTCCAAACAGAACCACCAAGGCACTGTAGATGTGGGTCGTACACATAAGTTTCATTGTGCTTATTGTCCACATATATGCGGCAACCGCAACCATGGCAAGATATGCGACTACTGCCAAAGCTGCGGAAGTTTATGGATGTAAAAATGGATATCAGAATATGTTTGTTTTCCCGTCTCCGCGGCAGGTACAATGTCCGGACAGGATAGTAATAGTAAAATGCATAGATGATGAACTTTGTTGTTGAAAGACCGGGCATTTAAGGGAGACAATCTAAATATTCATAATGCGTAGACAGTTTTCCTGAATGTTTTCATATTGTTTACAAAGGGCATCATCCTACCTAGCTGAGGAACCTGCGGGAGTACATTCGAAATTCACGAAATGGTTTCAGGCATATTTGGGCTAAGTTTTTGATCTGTTGGAAGAATTGCAAGGTACACTGATTCATTTGGATTGGTGGCCGTGTCGCCACCGATAAACCTACAAAATAGTTGGATGCAGTTTGGGACACAATTTGAAGCCGTAACTCTCAGGCGTATGATAA